GATGGCGCTTCTGGCCTGTAGATGGCGCTTCTGGCCTGTAGATGGAGCTTCTGGCCTGTAGATGGCGCCTCTGGCCTGTAGATGGCGCTTCTGGCCTGTAGATGGCGCTTCTGGCCTGTAGATGGCGCTTCTGGCCTATAGATGGAGCTTCTGGCCTATAGATGGCGCCTCTGGCCTGTAGATGGCGCTTCTGGCCTGTAGATGGCGCTTCTGGCCTGTAGATGGCGCTTCTGGCCTGTAGATGGAGCTTCTGGCCTGTAGATGGCGCCTCTGGCCTGTAGATGGCGCTTCTGGCCTGTAGATGGCGCCTCTGGCCTGTAGATGGCGCTTCTGGCCTGTAGATGGCGCCTCTGGCCTGTAGTTGGCGCTTCTGGCCTGTAGATGGCGCCTCTGGCCTGTAGATGGTGCTTCTGGCCTGTAGATGCCTCTTCTGGCCTGTAGATGGAGCTTCTGGCCTGTAGATGCCTATTCTGGCCTGTAGATGGAGCTTCTGGCCTGTAGATGCCTCTTCTGGCCTGTAGATGGCGCCTCTGGCCTGTAGATGGCGCTTCTGGCCTGTAGATGGCGCCTCTGGCCTGTAGATGGCGCCTCTGGCCTGTAGATGGAGCTTCTGGCCTGTAGATGGCGCATCTGGCCTGTAGATGGCGCTTCTGGCCTGTAGATGGCGCTTCTGGCCTGTAGATGGCGCTTCTGGCCTGTAGATGGCGCCTCTGGCCTGTAGATGGTGCCTCTGGCCTGTAGATGGCGCTTCTGGCCTGTAGATGGCGCCTCTGGCCGGTAGATGGCGCTTCTGGCCTGTAGATGGCGCTTCTGGCCTGTAGATGGCGCTTCTGGCCTGTAGATGGCGCTTCTGGCCTGTAGATGGCGCTTCTGGCCTGTAGATGGAGCTTCTGGCCTGTAGATGGCGCCTCTGGCCTGTAGATGGCGCTTCTGGCCTGTAGATGGCGCTTCTGGCCTATAGATGGAGCTTCTGGCCTATAGATGGCGCCTCTGGCCTGTAGATGGCGCTTCTGGCCTGTAGATGGAGCTTCTGGCCTATAGATGGCGCCTCTGGCCTGTAGATGCCTCTTCTGGCCTATAGATGGCGCCTCTGGCCTGTAGATGCCTCTTCTGGCCTGTAGATGGCGCTTCTGGCCTGTAGATGGCGCCTCTGGCCTGTAGATGGCGCCTCTGGCCTGTAGATGGCGCTTCTGGCCTGTAGATGGAGCTTCTGGCCTATAGATGGCGCCTCTGGCCTGTAGATGGCGCTTCTGGCCTGTAGATGGCGCTTCTGGCCTGTAGATGGCGCTTCTGGCCTGTAGATGGCCTGTAGATGGCGCTTCTGGCCTGTAGATGGCGCTTCTGGCCTGTAGATGGCGCCTCTGGCCTGTAGATGGCGCTTCTGGCCTGTAGATGGCGCCTCTGGCCTGTAGTTGGCGCTTCTGGCCTGTAGATGGCGCCTCTGGCCTGTAGATGGTGCTTCTGGCCTGTAGATGCCTCTTCTGGCCTGTAGATGGAGCTTCTGGCCTGTAGATGCCTATTCTGGCCTGTAGATGGAGCTTCTGGCCTGTAGATGCCTCTTCTGGCCTGTAGATGGCGCCTCTGGCCTGTAGATGGCGCCTCTGGCCTGTAGATGGCGCTTCTGGCCTGTAGATGGCGCCTCTGGCCTGTAGATGGCGCCTCTGGCCTGTAGATGGAGCTTCTGGCCTGTAGATGGCGCCTCTGGCCTGTAGATGGCGCTTCTGGCCTGTAGATGGCGCCTCTGGCCTGTAGATGGCGCTTCTGGCCTGTAGATGGCGCTTCTGGCCTGTAGATGGCGCCTCTGGCCTGTAGATGGCGCCTCTGGCCTGTAGATGGCTGGCCTGTAGATGGCGCCTCTGGCCTGTAGATGGCGCTTCTGGCCTGTAGATGGCGCCTCTGGCCTGTAGATGGCGCTTCTGGCCTGTAGATGGCGCTTCTGGCCTGTAGATGGCGCTTCTGGCCTGTAGATGGAGCTTCTGGCCTGTAGATGGCGCCTCTGGCCTGTAGATGGCGCTTCTGGCCTGTAGATGGCGCTTCTGGCCTGTAGATGGCGCCTCTGGCCTGTAGATGGCGCCTCTGGCCTGTAGATGGCGCCTCTGGCCTGTAGATGGCGCCTCTGGCCTGTAGATGGCGCCTCTGGCCTGTAGATGGCGCTTCTGGCCTGTAGATGGCGCCTCTGGCCTGTAGATGGCGCCTCTGGCCTGTAGATGGCGCCTCTGGCCTTTAGATATCTCTTCTGGCCTGTAGATGGCGCCTCTGGCCTGTAGATGGTGCTTCTGGCCTGTAGATGCCTCTTCTGGCCTGTAGATGGCGCCTCTGGCCTGTAGATGGCGCCTCTGGCCTGTAGATGGAGCTTCTGGCCTGTAGATGGTGCTTCTGGCCTGTAGATGGCGCCTCTGGCCTGTAGATGGTGCTTCTGGCCTGTAGATGCCTCTTCTGGCCTGTAGATGGCGCCTCTGGCCTGTAGATGGAGCTTCTGGCCTGTAGATGCCTATTCTGGCCTGTAGATGGAGCTTCTGGCCTGTAGATGCCTCTTCTGGCCTGTAGATGGCGCCTCTGGCCTGTAGATGGCGCCTCTGGCCTGTAGATGGCGCTTCTGGCCTGTAGATGGCGCCTCTGGCCTGTAGATGGAGCTTCTGGCCTGTAGATGCCTCTTCTGGCCTGTAGATGGAGCTTCTGGCCTGTAGATGCCTATTCTGGCCTGTAGATGGAGCTTCTGGCCTGTAGATGCCTCTTCTGGCCTGTAGATGGCGCCTCTGGCCTGTAGATGGCGCCTCTGGCCTGTAGATGGCGCTTCTGGCCTGTAGATGGCGCTTCTGGCCTGTAGATGGCGCCTCTGGCCTGTAGATGGAGCTTCTGGCCTGTAGATGGCGCCTCTGGCCTGTAGATGGCGCTTCTGGCCTGTAGATGGCGCTTCTGGCCTGTAGATGGAGCTTCTGGCCTATAGATGCCTCTTCTGGCCTGTAGATGGCGCTTCTGGCCTGTAGATGGCGCCTCTGGCCTGTAGATGGAGCTTCTGGCCTGTAGATGCCTCTTCTGGCCTGTAGATGGAGCTTCTGGCCTGTAGATGCCTATTCTGGCCTGTAGATGGAGCTTCTGGCCTGTAGATGCCTCTTCTGGCCTGTAGATGGCGCCTCTGGCCTGTAGATGGCGCCTCTGGCCTGTAGATGGCGCTTCTGGCCTGTAGATGGCGCTTCTGGCCTGTAGATGGCGCCTCTGGCCTGTAGATGGAGCTTCTGGCCTGTAGATGGCACCTCTGGCCTGTAGATGGCGCTTCTGGCCTGTAGATGGCGCTTCTGGCCTGTAGATGGCGCCTCTGGCCTGTAGATGGCGCCTCTGGCCTGTAGATGGCGCTTCTGGCCTGTAGATGGCGCCTCTGGCCTGTAGATGGAGCTTCTGGCCTGTAGATGGCGCTTCTGGCCTGTAGATGGCGCCTCTGGCCTGTAGATGGCGCCTCTGGCCTGTAGATGGCGCTTCTGGCCTGTAGATGGCGCCTCTGGCCTGTAGATGGCGCCTCTGGCCTGTAGATGGCGCTTCTGGCCTGTAGATGGCGCCTCTGGCCTGTAGATGGCGCCTCTGGCCTGTAGATGGCGCCTCTGGCCTGTAGATGGCGCCTCTGGCCTGTAGATGGCGCTTCTGGCCTGTAGATGGCGCCTCTGGCCTGTAGATGGCGCCTCTGGCCTGTAGATGGCGCTTTTGGCCTGTAAATAGTAATATATCCGTATGCTGTGAAGAGAGACAGATAAAGAAGAGCCAGATCTCCTACATATCCTTAAGAAAGTTATCCTAAACAGCTAAGGAAAAGGAAATATCACAGAGTGGACAGAATAATAATTTAATTGTACTGAAGTAGGCCTACAGATGACAGTAAACATCTTGAAAGTGTGTTCATTGTCAGCTGGGCGACAGACAAACACACAATTAAAGCGTTTTTTCCTCCTATCCTTCTCATTTATCTTTTTCTCTTGCTAGCAAACCATTAACTATTATTTATCCGTGTTCTATTGACAATGGGTGTATTATTGTTATATTTAGTGTATTATACACACACCTGCTTATTATAAACATGTCAACTCGTGTTTTTTTTTGTTTTTGTTTTTTGTGTGTGTGTGTGGGGGGGGGGGGGGATTGGCGTTGCATTAGCCCACTTAAACAATTTATTTAATAATCAGAGTAGCTGTTTTCTGCTTTTGACTCGACAGAAGATGAACTATACGGGAAAAACTGAAATAAAAACCAAAAGCAAAGCGCTTGAGGAAAGAGCAAGAGTTTTCCCGCGGGAATCCTGAATGAATCCCGGGAATCCCTGAAGATGCTGTGGGAACACGCGGTCATATGAGACACACACACACACACACAGTGACGCACGCAGCAATTTGCATTAACTACTCAACAGGTTTATTTTAAACGACGTTAACTTGGAACTCAGCTTTATTTCTATTGCGCTTTATACAATAGTTTCAAAGCAGCTTCAGGAAAATAACAGAATCAAGATGCAAAAACAATCAAATATGAGAAATTCAAATTCTTCTGTAAAGCAGATCTTTTTTTTTTTTAAAGACAGTGAAAAAAAATATTATAATTACAAATGAATGCAATAGAAATAGAAATTAGAATAGAAATAAACAGAAATAAACGACTAACGCATAAATCCTTCCAAGCCAGCTAATATTAATTTAAACAGAAACAGGGCATTAATCAGACACACACTCACTGACTGCTTACATGACCGATGAAATATCATGAGGAGGCTGTGGAGCTACACGTGTTCGAGTGAGGGGCATGTTCATTACTACGAGTTTACAGTACAGCTACTAACCGTGTTTTAGGAACACAGAGAGAGAGAGAGAGAGAGAGAGAGAGAGAGAGAGAGAGAGAGGGAGAGAGAGAGGGAGAGAGAGAGAGAGAGAGAGAGAGAGAGAGAGAGAGAGAGAGAGAGAGAGAGAGACAGAAAGAGGGAGGGAGAGGTCAGATTTGACCAATCCTAGAGGCTTGAGCTCAGAAGGAAAAAAACAAGTGAGTATTTGCAGGGATATTCTTCTCACAGGATGTGTATCGAGCAGAGAGAGAGAGAGAGAGAGAGAGAGAGAGTCCTGAGCTTGAGCCAGACTGAGGAGAGCAGCATGAGAGAGAACAGCACTGGAGAAGCACACTACTGAGGTAACACACACACACACACACACACACTACTGAGGTAACACTGCTGAGCTAACACACACACACACACACACACACACACACACACACACACACACACACACACACACACACACACACACACACACACACACACACACACACACGACTGAGGTAACACACTACTATGGTAACACACACACACAAACACTTCACTTCTGAGGTAACAGTACTGAGATGACACACATAACCACACTACAGCTGATGTTTCATGACGGAAGTTATTGGACTGAATAATGATATTACTCTGCAAAAAAATATGTTCTTACTTAAGTCTTATTTACTGAGAAATGTCCAGTTGAGTTTGTGCTTAAACAGAACACACTTCTGCCAAAGACAGCACACACACACACACACACACACACACACACACACACACACACACACACACACACACACACACACACACACACACACACACACACACACACACACACACACACACACACACACACACACACACACACATATCTGCCAAAGACAGAAAACACACACACACACACACACACACACACACACACACACACACACACACACACACACACACACACACACACACATCTGATCTCGTTTTCTCTTTTGAATTTTTCTGACATCATTGCAGATATTTGTTCTGTTTTTAAGCACGAACTTAATTAATTTTGATAAATGTTTCAGTAAACAAGACTTAATATTCAGTGATTTTGCTTCTCCTGTAAATGTATCTTGATTTCACATATTTATAATGTTTGAATGTGTGTGCTGGAAAGCCAGGCAGGAGCACTCGAGTAACAACATATGTTAGTTTAGTATTGAGTTATAGAGTTATAGAGTTACTTTACAGTTATGATAGTTGATGATCTTTACAGTTATGATAGTTGATGATCTTTACAGTTATGATAGTTGATGATCTTTACAGTTATGATAGTTGATGATCTTTACAGTTATGATAGTTGATGATCTTTACAGTTATAATAGTTGATGATCTTTACAGTTATGATAGTTGATGATCTTTACAGTTATGATAGTTGATGATCTTTACAGTTATGATAGTTGATGATCTTTACAGTTATGATAGTTGATGATCTTTACAGTTATAATAGTTGATGATCTTTACAGTTATGATAGTTGATGATCTTTACAGTTATAATAGTTGATGATCTTTACAGTTATGATAGTTGATGATCTTTACAGTTATGATAGTTGATGATCTTTACAGTTATTGATAGTTGATGATCTTTACAGTTATGATAGTTGATGATCTTTACAGTTATGATAGTTGATGATCTTTACAGTTATGATAGTTGATGATCTTTACAGTTATAATAGTTGATGATCTTTACAGTTATGATAGTTGATGATCTTTACAGTTATAATAGTTGATGATCTTTACACAGTTATGATAGTTGATGATCTTTACAGTTATAATAGTTGATGATCTTTACAGTTATGATAGTTGATGATCTTTACAGTTATAATAGTTGATGATCTTTACAGTTATGATAGTTGATGATCTTTACAGTTATAATAGTTGATGATCTTTACAGTTATGATAGTTGATGATCTTTACAGTTATAATAGTTGATGATCTTTACAGTTATGATAGTTGATGATCTTTACAGTTATGATAGTTGATGATCTTTACAGTTATTGATAGTTGATGATCTTTACAGTTATGATTGTTGATGATCTTTACAGTTATGATAGTTGATGATCTTTACAGTTATGATAGTTGATGATCTTTACAGTTATAATAGTTGATGATCTTTACACAGTTATGATAGTTGATGATCTTTACAGTTATAATAGTTGATGATCTTTACAGTTATGATAGTTGATGATCTTTACAGTTATAATAGTTGATGATCTTTACAGTTATGATAGTTGATGATCTTTACAGTTATGATAGTTGATGATCTTTACAGTTATTGATAGTTGATGATCTTTACAGTTATGATTGTTGATGATCTTTACAGTTATGATAGTTGATGATCTTTACAGTTATGATAGTTGATGATCTTTACAGTTATGATAGTTGATGATCTTTACACTTATGATAGTTGATGATCTTTACAGTTATAATAGTTGATGATCTTTACAGTTATTGATAGTTGATGATATTTACAGTTATAATAGTTGATGATCTTTACACAGTTATGATAGTTGATGATCTTTACACTTATGATAGTTGATGATCTTTACAGTTATAATAGTTGATGATCTTTACAGTTATTGATAGTTGATGATCTTTACAGTTATGATAGTTGATGATCTTTACAGTTATGATAGTTGATGATCTTTACACTTATGATAGTTGATGATCTTTACAGTTATGATAGTTGATGATCTTTACAGTTATGATAGTTGATGATCTTTACAGTTATGATAGTTGATGATCTTTACAGTTATGATAGTTGATGATCTTTACACTTATGATAGTTGATGATCTTTACAGTTATGATAGTTGATGATCTTTACACTTATGATAGTTGATGATCTTTACAGTTATAATAGTTGATGATCTTTACACAGTTATGATAGTTGATGATCTTTACACAGTTATGATAGTTGATGATCTTTACAGTTATGATAGTTGATGATCTTTACACAGTTATGATAGTTGATGATCTTTACAGTTATGATAGTTGATGATCTTTACAGTTATGATAGTTGATGATCTTTACAGTTATGATAGTTGATGATCTTTACAGTTATGATAGTTGATGATCTTTACAGTTATGATAGTTGATGATCTTTACAGTTATGATAGTTCAGTCTCTGTCTGGAGGATCAGACTAATGTTTTGTTTTCTGATTTTGCGGTTCTTCTCGTCTTTGATTGGTGCAGGATGAGTAATCACTGTTCTGAAACATCACTCTGATAATGTTCAACACATAATGTGGAAACAATGATTAACCTTTAATATATTTCTGCTGTTGTCAACATGTGGGCGTTTCTGTGCACGTCGAATATCTGACAGAAACTAGATCATGTTTGAGACAGTGACACATGTGTTTCCACATCATCTGTTAAAAACAGAAGCTGTGACGAGCACAGTGTGATGTCATGGCTGTGCTTCATCTGTGTGTGTGTGTGTGTGTGTGTGTAGCATCATGGGTCCGTGTCTGTGGATACTGGTGCTCGTGGTCCAGCCGGTCCTGGCCTTCAGACGTCCAGCTCAAGCCTCGGCCTGTCGACAGGTGAGTGTCTCCTTCCGTCACTCCGACCGACTGCATTTCTGTGCAGAGAAACCCATCAGGTGTGTGTGACTCCATCAGGTGTGTGTGACTCCATCAGGTGTGTGTGACTCCATCAGGTGTGTGTGACTCCATCAGGTGTGTGTGACTCGGTCAGGTGTGTGTAACTCGGTCAGGTGTGTGTAACTCGGTCAGGTGTGTGTAACTCGGTCAGGTGTGTGTTACTCAGTTGCTTGAGTGAAACGGACTTTGTTCAAATGTCAACATGACAGAAACTAACAGTGAGATCTCCGTTGTTTGTCTGGAATAGAATAGATCGATGCGTCTTCTGTAGAGTCTCAGAACGGGCAAGTCTTGCACAGCAGGACATTATTTTCTAACTTAGCATTTTTGTCGTTTTCCAGTACAAATATCAAAACATACTTAAATTAAGCGCATAGTCTTGCATTGTGAGAAATGCATCAAAATGAAGCGAGTTTGTGCTTAAAACTTTAAGAACTAAAATCTGCCAGTGGACTCAGAAAATCATCTGTAACACTTTACACTACGGTTCATTAGTGAACATGAACTAAGAATAAACAACACTTCTACAGCATTTATTCATCTTAGTTAATATTAATTTTAGCATTTACTAATACGTTATTAAAATCAAAGGTTGTATTAGTGAACATTAGTGAATGCACTGTGAACTAACATGAACACAATGAACAGCTGGATTATTAATAACTCACATTAACAAAGATTAACAGAGACAGTAACACAGGTATTGCTCATTGTTAGTTCATGTTAGTTAATACAATCACTAATGTTAACTAATGAACCTTATTGTAGAGTGTTACAGATTATCTTAATTCAAAGGGAAAAGAAGATATTGTTTTGAGTTAAAACTATTGCAAAGGAAACTTCAACCAAGTAGAAATTACTCAACCTTTTATTGGACAAGTTAAAGTTACTTATTTTGTTTGTTGATGTTACTTAACTTAGTTAAGTAGAGTTTACTTAATTCCATTTGTGAAATTACTTTAGAAATCTGCATGCAAAAAAGTGCGAAAGAAAAAGTAAATTTGACATTGTTTTTTTTCCAGTGTGGAGAAACAAAATGAGTGAAGATATTAAGTTTTGTTTACTGAAAAAATATGATCAAAATGACGTGAATTTATGCTTATATATAATATATCTGTCAGTGGAGTCAGAAAAATAAACTTAATTCAAAGGGAAAAACAAGATGATTTTCTGACTCCACTGACAGATTTTAGTTCTTGTTTTAAACACAAACTCACTTCATTTTGATGCATTTTTCACAACCAAGACTCGATATCTTCAGACAGTCATTTTGCTGCTTCTCCTGTAAATGTGTCTTGATTTAAGAAACTTTAGATGTTTGAGCTGGAACTCGAGACAGAAACACTGAATAAGAGCATTCTCATTAAATCTATAATCATGTTAGCTCTACATGACAACTCGCTCGTTCACTCAGAGATTAGAAAACGCTTCAGCTTTAATGAACACACAGTCAAACCAACATTATCCAGACTCCGTCCTTCTGTTAGACTCTCACACATGAATTATGTTGAATATCTGTCAGCTGGTAAATTTAACTACACAATTAGATAATACCAGTTTAGCTCAACCAGTGACCAAGCAATGCTTCATGTTGTTCAGTGTGTGTGTAAAAAGAGCATTAGCAATTACAGAAAACACACTGAAGAAAACATCATCAGCTCAAAGTGGAGGAATCATTTTTGGTCCCAAATTTTTACAGGTAGTCACTGTATGAAGAATATTTGGGTATAATATGTCACAGGTTACTTTATTTTGCTCTCCTCAATTACATAAATGAACTATAGTGTCCTGCACACACTAGTGGAACAATATCAAAAATGATGTCTGGTGTGTGAATAACTTTCGGTTTGACTGTGTGCACTCCTGAACGATGTTAGCAAAGACGTCCAGTCTCTCCTGAAGACCTGATGATTCCAGGTGAGAGAGTTCAGGATGAGTTCAGGAGGCCTGTGATTGGACATCAGGGAGGAAGTGTGTGTCGGATGAACACATCACACTCCATTATGTCTCCATCCTCTCGTCGATCTCTGCCGGAAGCGGAGGGTTATAAAGAGCAGGGCCTATAGATGTGCCGAGAGCGCTGATCCAGTCAGAAAACTGAGCCATTGTGTTGAGATGTTCCAGGAAACAGCGGAATGCAAAAAAAATGTTTTGTCTTGTTTCCAGTCCAAATGTAAAAATGCCTAAATCGGGATGCATTTACTGAAGTACATGTCTTGTTTTCTGGGGAAATACATCAAAATTAAGTGAGTTGCCAATGGGGTCAGAAAAATTATCTTAATTAAACAGAAACTAGATTATTTTTCTGACCCCATTGGCAGATCATTTTGCTTTTGTAAGAAATTGTAGTCTGCTTCCACTCCAAAATATATTTAAGAATGAGCTCATCCCTAAAATGGCTTAATTACCTTAGAGATGAAGGAAGTCCCCATTAGGGTTGATTACATCCTGAGCGAATGGACCCGTCTCAGACTCGGGCGTCTCACTTCACTAACATGCAGACTGGTGAACTATAAAAGGTGTAAGATTTGGACGATCTGTTCATTCTGACGTCCACATCATTTTTCCTTACACTTTCTTTAAGCAACAACTCTTAATTTAGTTTTATTCCCCCAGAAAACAAGACATAATATCTCATGGCATTTCACTCGTATAGTAAATGCATCTTGATGTAAGAATTTTTAGACATTTGGACTGGAAACAAGACAAAAATACTAAGTAAGAAAAGCATTTTTTTTGCAGTGTGATGTTGTAGTTCTCATGAAATAACCAAAAAGGCGATTAAAGCTGTGTCAAAACTGCATGCATGTATTTGTTATATATGCGTCACATGACTAAAATATTCTGCTATGTGTGAGATCACAATAGCCTATAAGGCACAAACTGATGTGATTTTTTTAAAGAGGTCATCGGATGCAAAATTCACTTTAATAAGGTGTTTGCATATAAATGTGTGTGTGCAGTGTGTGGACGCAACCACCACACAACGAAGAAAATCAATTCACTCCTTTTTCTTAATCCTCAAAAAGCCTAAACACTCTCAATAAGCAGGCCGTTTGGATTTTCTGAGCAATATGATGTCATAAGGCTCATGCTCCGCCCACAATCGCTGACGGACTCTCCCGTATTAGCATATTTCCCGTATTAGCATATTTCCGTTTGCTATACTGTCCGCCAAGGCATCACTTTAGTGTCTTGTGTCGACACGTCCCCCACAGAAGAGGGGGGGGGGGGGGGGGGCAGTTGCTCATTATCATTTAAAGAGACATGCACCTCATTATCATTTAAAGAGACATACACCTCATTATCATTTAAAGAGACATGCACCTCATTATCATTTAAAGAGACATGCACCGAAACCCTGGCTCCGCCACTGATGTTGACTAATAGCACTGTTTCTTCTCCAGATCCAGGAGGACCTCGACTGCAGCAATCTGAACCTTAGACGGATCCCGAAGCAAATCCCGGACACCATCCACCGGCTCGATCTGTCCCGAAACCTCCTCCAGAACCTCACGGACCGAGACCTGCCGTCCTCCTCCACCATCCGACATCTCAACCTTCACGGAAACAAGATCCAGTTCATCCAGCCGGGACTCTTCCAAGACATGAGCCTTCTGGAGGAGCTGGATCTGTCGGAAAACTCCCTGGATCTTTACGCGTCTCTGAAAACACACGTCGGGACGCTCACATCCGTGCGCCGACTGGATCTATCCGGAAACGGGTTGTTCACGGATATGAGCGACTTCTTCCTAAATGACGCCCCGGTTCTCACCAACCTCTCTTTGGATGGGAACAGCATCACTAAGATAGGCCGATCCACATTCAACGGATCTCAAGCTTTAAAAAACATCGACTTAAACAACAACGTAATCATAGAGATCGAAGAAGGCGCATTCGAGTTCTTGACGGGACTCTCCAATCTCGATTTGTCCATGAACTCCATCTCATGCATTACAGATTTCAACCTCGTTCAGCTCAAAACGCTGAACCTGAGCAAAAACAGCTTGACTAACTTCCAGGCCGACGACTCGGATCAGGAGTTTGAGCTTCAGTATCTGGACTTGAGAGAAAACAAAATCCTCTACTTCCCCGTCCTTCCCCAAAGGAACAAGCTCATATACCTGGACTTGTCTAGAAATCTCCTGAGGAGTGTAAATTGCTCCGGTCCATTAGAAGAGCTGGAGAACCTGAAGGATAGTGGATATCTAATGACGGATCCTGATAAACCTCTTTCATTGTGCGTCAATAAGAGGCACCAGGATTTTCCCAGCTTGCTTTACTTGGACTTGAGCTTCAACCAGCTCAAAGCGGTCCCGCCCTCGTTCTTCACCAGTATGACTGCGCTGGAAACCCTGAACATCAGCAATAACTGCTTAGAAAGCTTCATTGTGGACGACGGTCTGAACTCTTTGGAGACACTAGACATCAGCTCCAACAATCTCCAGAACCTTTCCTTCGGACTGAACGCGCTGGCCGCGCTACACGAGCTCCGCCTCGGGGGAAACGCTCTCCAAACGTTAGACGCCGGGGTTTTCCTCAGGCTTCCCAGCATCCGAAGCCTTCATCTTCAGCAGAACCAGCTCAGCATCTGTTCTCCGTTGGAAAATCCGAGTTTCGGCTGCGTCCAACTCTCCTCAATCCCGACTCTCAGGTATCTGTACCTCTCGGAAAACGGGTTGTTCTCGGTTCCACCGGGATCGTTCCAGGGAAGCCCCTTGCTAATCCTGGATTTATCCCAGAATCCCGGCGTTGACGTTATCCCGGCGTCGTTCTCCGGTCTGGAGGCGTCTCTTTCCCATCTCTCTCTAAAGGGAAACCAACTTCAATCCCTAACAATTGACTTCACTCTTTTCCCGAATCTAAAATCCTTGGATTTGTCGGTGAACCGGCTCACGGGAGTCTCCCTATGGAGCGGGGATTCCTCCCTCGAGTCGTTAAACCTGCAAAACAACAGTTTAGTAACGCTTCATGAAGTAACGCTGCAAGAAACGCTCCGAACTTTATACGTGGGATCGAACCCGTTGAGCTGTTGCATGAACCCGCACCTCCTCACGCTCCTCCGGCAGGAGAGACTCACGGTGCCGGATCTCTCCGGAGCGACGTGCTGGTATTCCCGAGACTCGGAGAGCGTGGAGATCAGCGTGAGCGCCGTGCAGCCGGAGCACTGCGAGTCTGCCGACGGGAAAGTGCTGTGGATTAGCGTGATCGTGGTGCTTGTGCTGGGAATGGCGCTGGTGTTGGCCGTCACGTTAAAGCTCTGTCACTCAAAGAGGCATAGATTCAAGAGAGGCTTCAAAGCTTGAATCTAAAGGCGAAAGAGGGAAAAGAAACCAGAGCGTTCTCACCTGACTAGAGCCGAATGCATGACACCAGGTTTCAGTATGTGATGCGTGGGCGATCTGGAACCAATTCAATGTGAAATGCACCACCATAAATGCACAAACCATTCACTGTAAAAAGGGATTAGTTGACTTAACTTAAAAAAATTGCCTTCAAATTATTAAGTAAATTAACTTCATGCTTAATCGAAAAAATTAAGTAACGTGGAACTGTCAATTTCACGTTACTTAATTTTTTTTCAATTAAGAATTAAGTTAAGTAAGCCTGTTGCCTTAAAATTATTAAGCAAGTGAACTGAACACTTTTTACACTGTATAAACATGACATTGCATTTAAAACCAGACTCAAACCGCACGAGTCGGCAGCAACACTACACTTTCTGATGTATATTGCATGCACTTTATTGACTGTGATTTGTGATTATTGGAGTGAAATGTACCTGCTGCGATATGTTTGCATATTGCGAAACCGCCCTTGACCAATGCAAAACATGGTGGAAACACTAGATGCACTCGGAGATCTCGAGCTTGTTTTCAGCATGTTGTGCATCAGCCGAAGGAATGTCATCGGACGGAGGAAGCGTTTACGGGAACACCTGCACCACTTTCCTGTTGTTGAGCTCAGCTTCCTATCCTGGTGTTGCTGATTTATCCCTTCAGCCTCAGTAACTCTGAGTCGTGTTTGACTGGCGATCACGTTTAGCTCCGCACACATAAACACACACACAGACCGCAATGTTTGTTTGGTCTTTTTTTAGATTTTCCAGCCTGGAATAAGTCCGACCCTGGTGTGTATATCATGAGCGGGGATAAAGATAGACAGGAGATCCCGGCTGAGGGAAGCGCACATCATCACCACAGATATTAATAGAGGCGTGTTTGAGCTTCCTCCTATCAGTCTGAGTCACGGACCTTCTGCTTTCCAGATACACACACACACATGACAAACCCACAGTCACACACACGTCATGTATGAGCTGCCACTACTATATGAAGGAACTGTACCACAACTACTGTGTAAATCTATTTATGAAGTATTTTCCTAAATAAAAGGTCTGTGTTATGTCGTCTGCGGTGTGTGTTCCTCCTCACTACTTCAACATTACCAAATTAGGTCAAAGTCATCATCATGATACACATCAATACAAAATACCCAAAGTAGTTTGCATGATAAACTGAAAAGGAAATGCTCTGTCTCGCTGACATCAGTTTTAAGTGTGCGTAAACTACTGGCTAATATTAGACCATATTCAAATTTGTGTTTAGACGTGTTAGGAATCTCACATGTGGTCTGGACCGCAAACAATGAGCTTCTTCCTCAATATTGTAGCCGTATTTTCCAGCACGAATATCTAAACATTCTTAAATCAAGATGTATTTACTGGAGACGCAAAATGACTAAAGATATTAAGTCTTAATTATTCAAATTAAGTGAGTTTGTGCTGAAAACAAGAACAAATATCTGGCAGTGGGGGCAGAACAATAGTTTTCCCTTTGAATTAAGATTATTTTTCTGACCCAATCGGCAGTTATTTATTTTATATTTATTTTTTACCCAATTATGCATGAACTCACTGATAATTGTAATAATTTAAAAACCAGACTTACTATGTGAAGTCATTTTGCTGCTGAATTAAATGTGTCTTGATGTAAGAATGTTTAGGTGTTTTATAAGCTTATTAAAGCAGCATGAATAATCAATAATTAGAGCAATGAACGCAGATTAATTAGAGACGCACAGTGACAGAGGGACTCCAGCACAATGACATCATCTGTTCAAACAGGAAGTAGCGCTACAGGAAATGACCCGCTGCTGTTCGTTTGACTGCAGTTTCCACTGTTTATATATATATATATATATAATATATATATAATGCAGCCTTCTATTCTGCTCAAGGCTGCATTCATTTGAAAATACAGTAAAAAAAATTTTTTATTATATATTATTCCAATGTAAATCAGCTGTTTTCTATGTGAATATATAGCAAACTGTAATTTATTCCTTTGATCAAAGCTGAATTTATTCAATTAGAAATATAGTAAAAACCACAAAATATTATCACAATGTAACACAGCTGTTTTCTATGTAAATATATATTAAATTATAATTAATTCCTGTGATCAAAGCTGAATTTATTTCATTAAAAATGCAGTAAAAATCACATATTATTCCAATGTAAATCAGCTGTTTACTATGTAAATATATAGTAAAGTGTAATTTATTTCTGTAATTCTAATATGATGATTTGATGCTCAAAAAACATTTATTATTATAATCAATGTTGAACAGTTGATATGTTTGTGGAAACTGTCATGCATTTTATTTTTCAGGATTGTTTGATGGATAGAAAGTTCAAAAGAACAGCGTTTATTTGAAACATAATCTTTGGTAACTTTATAAGCGTGTTGAGTGTCAGTGTGAGGTGTTTCTGCCTCAGGTCTTCTGTGTAAACGCCTCTTCACGAGTGAGATGAGGAACAGCTTCTCTATCGGGTCCAGGTCAGTTTAATCTACTCATCCTTCAATAAAAGCTCCTAAAGCTGCTCAAGCGTGTCAGGAGTAACACTATCATGACCTCGTCGTGACCCCAGAGGTCAGCTTCATGTGTCCGTGTGATGATGTCATCATGACCTCGGATTCTGAAGCGTTTCTGTAGGTTTTACAGCACAATGAGGCGTGTGTGTGTGTGTGAGATCAAGAGAACGAACTGAACTTGTGTTTCTGCGCTCATTCTTTCTATATCAGGTTCTGTTTGTGTACGAGCCGCACAGGGCCAATTATGCATTTATAATAGCAGCGGTTGTATTTATATAATTACTGTAAATCCTGTCGTTATGATGTGTAGGACGGTCTTGTTTTCACATGAAGGTGTAATTACCAGAGACGAGAAGAGATCACATGTTTGAAGAGCGTCTTTGTCTCTGTGGAATCTCTGAAACAATAGCAGTCTTCATCATCATCATCATCATCATCATCATCGTGTGTGTGTGTGTGTGTGTGTGTGTGTGTCAAAACCGCCCCAGTCTGGAATGAGGAAAAAAGGAACTGGATCAGAGTAACATTTTTTGGGTAAGTTAAGTGTTTTCCCCCTCCAAACCAGTTCAATGCATCTCCTGTGTTCATTGGTTGAGGTTTAGGGCTCAGGATTGTGTAGCCAAGCAGCACTGGGACTGGCACTGGCAGGACCAATGACATCTCTAGAATCGGCTTTGGGGCGGAGTTTACGCTGAACAACTGTAACGTTAACGACACAGAGAAACTACATCACTGGAATCACTTTCAGAGCGATTGTTGAACGATAAAAACACTGACAGCCAATCAGAATCCATCCTGCTTGCGCTCCAGCATTTACTCACACACACACACACACACACACACTGACATCAGCATTAGTTCATCTGTGCTTCAAAGAGCTGAACTGAAATCAAAGGAATTCTGACTGTAATCAGAAACAGACTCAGACTCTCCAGACGATAAACAAATCATTCCACTCGTGTTTATCCATCGGAAATGTGTAAATGTCCCGTCCTGATCACTGTCTGGATCTCTCTCTCACACACACACACACACACACACTCACGCACTCCCCCTCACACACACACACACACGAGGATCTGCGTTCAGTCTGAATGTTTATTACTCTTGTCTTAATAACTCAACACGGATCACATGATCACATTCCACTGTCTGTCGTGTTCATCATGCTGAAGGAAACTGTAAGCGGATATTTGATCCCGACGATTAAAGCAGAATGAGAGTTCACACACACACACACACACACACAGATTCTCCCCGCAGCCCTGAAACTGCAATCCTGTAAACATGAACAAAGACTGCGCTCGGCTTACTGAACTCCGATCCGCTTAGATACGAGTCAAATGTCAAGTGTTTTTAAGGAACTGATGTTTATGCCACACTTGTTTTCCAGCACAAATATCTAAAGATTCTTGAATCATGATACATTTACTGGAGAAGCTAAATTATTGAAGATATTAAGTCTTAATTATTCAAATGCAGTGAGTTAAAGGGATAGTTCACCCTTTATAGTTAAAAAAAAAAAAAATAGCCCATGATTTACTCTCCCTCAAGTCATCCTAGGTGTGTGTGACACTCTTCTTTCAGACGAACACAATCAGAGTTATATTAAACATGTCCTGGCTCTTCCAAGCTTTATAATGGCAGTGAATGGCCGTTTCTGTTTTGAAGTCCATAAAAGTGCATCAATCCATCATAAAAGTGCGTGTATCCACCCATCCATCATAAAAGTCAAGCGTCCTTTATTTATATAGCGCTTTTTACAATATAGATTGTTTCAAAGCAGCTTTACAGAGATAACAGGAAAATAATGATTTAATAATATTGTTAAATATCAAATTAAATGTCCCCAACTAAGCAAGCCAAAAGCCAATGGCGACAGTGAAGGAACCAAACCTCCATCAGTGACAGAATGGAGAAAAACCCTTGAGATAACCCAGACTCAGTCGCTCAGTTCTCCTCTGGCCAAAGAGCCAACAGTGTATGATTATGATTCAGGCCACAATACAGGTCAGAGGTCAGACTGGATCCAGGTCCCTCTGGTTGGAGGTGGGAGTCACGCCGGGATGGAGACGAGATGTTGCGGTGTCCATGAGGCCTTCACAGCGCTGATGAGGCTGCACTGCAGGGATGCGTTGTGGACGTGTGCAGGCGCAGGTCCACCGTCTGATCTGGATATGGGGGGAGTACTCTGGGTCCGGGCCCCACTCCGAGCTCGGAGCCCTCCCCCGGACAGCACACCACATACGCATTAAACCTTATCCACTCTAATTGTATGTAAGTGTGAACTCGTGAACAAGTGGTTTAATCATAGCCAGCTTAAAAGTTTTTGGTACATATCCTAGTGACAAAGATGAATTAATGATATTAAGAAGAGCATCTTTGACCTCTGGAAGCATCTCTTTCATTAGCTTAGTTGTGGATTTAGATGATTTAACGAGTTTAGACAATTCTTCCTCTTCTATAGAAATGAATGATTGTAATTTTTCCTCAGGGAGACTACAATGCACTCCCTGATGCGATACTGTGGTAGACGGTTGCATATATAACGAGGTTAAAATGGTTTTATTTCACAAGATTTTTCTGTTATTATACATTTAAGGTTGTT